AACATAAGTACGAGAATGACACCAGGGTTTTGTATATACACACATATGCACGTACATTCACATCACAGTGCAAGTATTGAGCACCTGACGGAGGTGACTTTAACACTGTGAATCAACATCCGTTTTTCGCAGAGCTCATGTCCTGCTCACGATGAACAGTAAGAGTAAGAGACATAAGGTACTACAGTAGTAAGACTCGTAGTAGAGCGAATATTCCTACCAGAGTCATCGTATGAATGATTCGGGGTAACTTGTAATTTCCGTTATTGTTTCAAACAGACCCTTAATCGTAGATAATCTAAAGGCCCGATCGGCACCTACTAGTGATACCGGCTTAGGTTTGCATCTCCTCGGCTGCGCAACCACCGGGCTCTGGCGCAAGAGGCAGGGGGGCCAGGGTTCGGCGCCTGAAGTGTTCCAAAACTCCTCCAGAAAGCCCCGAAATGCCCTGAATTCAGGATTCCTCTTCTGGGGTAAGGGCTTGTTCCGGGCTTATTCCGGGGTACGTTTGGGCCGGGACCCGATACCCTGACCCGACAGAACATGGGCCCAACCATATGCAGAGCTTATGGAAGCGTGTGGGTAGTTGTCAAAAATGTATGATCCTTTTTGGGTACCCTAAATATTAGGTGCCGTACTATACTAAGGACCCAAAAAGTGGCAATAATTTTGACAACCACCCATGTGTTGGTTTCCGCAGTCCGAGTGTGATATTGGAAGTGATGCCTTCCTTTTGCTTTACTGGTTGGCGGGAACAACAGGGCTTATTTCGTAAGCGCGCGGATTCAAGAGTGTGTGATGGGCGGCTTAGATTTCTGTCAAGCGATGTTCAAAAGAAAGTGGAATATTGGATCCTGAAACCAGGGATCCTAAACCCTAAACTGTGTCTCTACACCCAAAACCCATACCCTGAACCACTACACTCCTAAACACAAGACAATGAACACTAGACCCCCTCCCCAGATTACTAAACCCCAAAAGCCCTAAGCCCCTAAACCCCCAAACCCCAAAACCCTAACCCCTTTATGGAACACTTACAGATCCCTTTAAAAGGACCCTTATAGTACCCCTAAAACCCTGAACCCAATGAGGCTGTCTCCCTCGACACCAGCTGCTTAGAGTTCGTCTCCGAAGAACTTCGCGGCTGGGGACGCACTGAGAGGCTTCAGGGGGCTCGGATTTTAGGATTAAGGGGGTTTTACGGGCTAGAGTTTAAAGGTTTTTAGGGGTTAGGGTTTTAGGGTTTAGGGCTTATAGGGTTTAGGGCAAGGCTGGTTTAGGAAGTTAGGGATGAGGTTTTAGGGGTCAGGGTTTAGGGTTTAGGGATTGGAGTTTAGGTCTCAGGGTTTAGGGCTTGGGATGTAGTTCTCCAGGATGCAGGATCAGGGTTTGCGGTTCAGGACGTCGAGTTCAGGATTCTGCGTTCATGTGGGTTTAACCCTAAACCCTAAACCTAAACCCTAAACCCTAAACCTAAACCCTAAACCCTAAGCCTAAACCCTAAACCTAAACCTTAAACCCTAAACCCTAAACCTAAACCCTAAACCCTAAACAAGTTTAGGGTTTGTGGCTTCGGATTAGGGTTTCGGGTTTGGAGTTTAGACTTCAGGGTTTAGAGGACAGAGGACATACAAGGTACTTGAAGGCTCGTGGGACTTAGTAAGTAAGGTTATAAGTAGGGTATAATTAGGATAACCCCACTTAGGGGACTTGCAACCCCAATTATAACCTACTTATAAAGTCCCATGATCCTCTAAGTATACCTAAACTACCCCTTATAGAACCCTTATATTATAAATCGCTAAATCCTAAACCCTTTAAGGAGCTGTTTAAGGAACTCTAAGTCCCTCTAAGTATAGAAGGTTTAGGGCTAAGGCATTGGGGTGTAGCGTTAAGGGTTCAGGAATCCAGGCTGCAGAGTTTGTATGGTTTACAAGTGTTGAGGGATCTTGGGGTTAGGGTTTAGGGTTTAGGGTTTAGGGGTTTAGGGTTTAGGGTTTAGGGTTTGGGGTTTAGGGTTTAGGGGTTTAGGGTTTAGGGTTTGGGGGGGTCCAAAAGATCTAGCAAGGGAGCCTTTGGGTCTGGGATCACAGTGTTTATGATGATTCGGTACCGGGATCCTTACAGAAAACTCCAGAAAGTTGGAATATGGTTTCATGGTAGGATAACCCATAATTTACCATAGAAGGGTTAGGATAATCATATTCCAACTTTCTGGCTTTTACCTTAAGTGGAAGGGTGTTCATTTCTTGGCTACGGTGTTCATGTCTGGTGTGGTGTCCATCGGAGTATTTCGCGCATGTATGGCATCTGTAGCATTTTGTGGCTGGAGTCTACACGGTTAAGGTTCATGCAGAAAGCCTGGAGCAATACGTCTTTGCAGGGACTTGTGTTGTGGTTTCTCAGGGTTTAGTGCAAGTAGGGAGCAGTGTTGTAGCGGTTGTTGAACCCTAAACCCGTACATGGCTTCCAGACATCAAAACACTAAACCTAGCATGTCCGTTGCATGTACCCCGAGATTCATCAAGCTTAGTCCTGCGGTGAGCGTCGCGATGGTTTTTGTCAGCGAAATGACTGGCTTGCGGCTGATAGGCCGGTTTAGCGTGTAGGGATTTTCCCCGTGATAAGTATTTCGAGCCACGGGTATGGCTGTAGTGTTTGGGGGGTTCAAGTGAGGAGTTCGGGGCTTGCGTATGGCTAATATACTGGGAAACCTGGCCTAGTAAAGGTTCTCAACAAAAACCCTGTAAACCCCCACAAGACTGCATCACACCCCATAAGCGCTGCACCCTAAACCCTATAAGCCCTTTGGCGGTACATTATGCGACAACTATAATAAGGAACCCACAACACCCTATTCTAGTCATAAAGGCCCCCACATTGAGCCCAGAACAGTGCGCCCAAACATACTGCGACAGCTCTGCAGCCGAGGTGAAGATGTGGAGCTGATGCGCGAGGTGCGAAGCTCACAAAGTCTAAGGTGTAGGGAATCGGGTTTATATAGGGCTTAGCATGAGTTCAGGGTTTAGGTTTTGGGGATCTTAACCCAACAAATAGCTTTCCTTTTGAAGGACTTGTATAGAAGGAAGTCATATTATAGATAGATGGACCATAAACGATAGATTTCTTCTGGTCCCGGTCAGGTTTGGTATCTCAGCCGCAGTTGATTCTGGACGTACACTGTACATATACACACACGGGTTGAGGTGCTACTTAAGACTGTGGCTTTTTAGGGTTCAGGTGACCCGTAAACCCCACAACTCATCTCTCGAGGCCCTTGTCGAAAGAGAACTTCAAGGGTTTCGTTGTAATGTAGGAGCCTGAAGACTTGCCAATACTATTTTTTGGGGGGGGTCCGTATTATAGTTATAGTATAATATACCCGTTCTTTCTCAATTCAGTGCTCCCTTTCATGTAGATAGTGCAGCACGGAAGCTGCTATCGGAGGCCCGAAAGGAGCTCGAACTTAGAACCACCCCGCGAAGCGATAGAAGAAACAGGGACCCCAAGCGGGTTGTCCTTTGCTGGGATTGGAAAGCCCAATGCCCAAAAGTCTTGAAAGCCCTTAAAAACTTCATCATAGACACCGAAGATGGTCTCGTGTCTTGCAAGCCTGACCGACTGGCCCTCGACCCCTGAACCGGCAAACCCGAAGCCCCCGAACCCTGGACCGCTCCAACCGTAAACCCTTCAAACCGGCGAAACCCTAAGACCCGAATCGTACGACTGTCGCAGACATTGCGCTGGGTTTTCGACTTCGGGCATGTCAAGGGTTCTAGACTGGCTTCGCATGGTGTTCGTAACGGTTGCAGAAGTTGTGATATCGGCTTTGGGGTATAGTGTTTGTTTGCGGCTTCAGCGATTGTTGGACGAATTCCCCTAAACCCACAAACCCCCTATCCCCCAAACTCCTAAACCCAGATGAGGCCGTGTCTCGAAATGCCTTCGCCCTGCGCTTTGCAGGGCCGCGGGCGACAGAATGCAAGGATCATGGTTACAAATTTACGGGTTTGGGGGCGGGCAAGGAGGCTTAGCGCTCAGGGGTTCAGGTTTTAAGGTTTCCGGGCTTAGGGTTAAGACCTGGACAGGTCCAGTCGTATTCCTGTAGTTCTGATATGGCAGTTTTGATCTTCGTTGTTGTCATACTACAGTACCCTGAACCTAAACCCTAAACCCTATTTTGGGGTGTTCCCCTCCACAGCACTGTCATTGACATTGACCATACTCCGGCCACTATTGTGTTTGAACTTGTCGCCATGCCGTTTGGGGTGTTGAGGGTAATGGCAGCCATCCTATCAGCATTATAAGTGCAGTTCGGGTAATGACATCGAAAGTTATGGTCAATAACGACGATGCTGCAGACTTTGATGACAAAGAAGTAGCGAACGCAGTCATGGTGATGAGGATAGTGATCCTGACGACGATGAGATAGCGTCATGTTGTCATCACCACAATGATGCCGCTGCCCCTGATGACTAGTGATGAGAATCATGAACATACCAACTCACTTGGTGTTTCGAGTCAATCATGGCTGGGACATGTCTGAGAGCACCTGTCGAAATTTGATCCCTTTGAGTTGCTAGAGCAACAGTTGTTGCTGCTTGTAACTGCTGCCTCCTGCTCCCACTGCTCCTGCTGCTGCTGCATGGTGCTGCGCCCGCCGTCGGCTGCAGCAGCAGCGACTGGTGAAGCGACAACCACAAGGTTGTTGACGAGCCTAAACCCTAAACCCTAAACCGATAGTGGTGGTCATGGTTTGTGATGGTGATCATGGTGATGCACTGCTCGAAGTGCGGACGCTAGGAGTGGTACCTCCTACGACGACAGCGCAAACATGAATCCCCAACGTCTCCTATCTATTTCAAAGGGCGCCTTGTGGCCTTTACATTCGTTCGGATAAGTCGTGGAAGGCCGCTAGCAGGTGCAATTCCATACGGGTCCATGTACCTATATAGTATACATGCTGAGACGATTTTTTGGGTTTGGGGGAACCTTCGCAGATGGCAGCTGGGCCCGGGGCTTCGAAGATGGGAGGTGAGCCCGGGAAGATGGGAGGTGGGCCGCCGGCCAAAGCAGATCCGTCTTCGGATGAGGAAAGTGAGGTGGCTGAGGCGGCTGCACCGAGCAAAGCGCCAAAGCGAAAGCATGGCGAGGACGAGGTGAAGAAGACCGAGGTGCAGCAGATGCAGAGGCCGGCCGAGCCCCAGAAGCCACCCACCAACCTCGCACGGCGGGTGGGCAAGTTTCGGCTGGATGTTGGGACGTTGGAGATTTTCGCGAAGATCACCCCCTTCGATATCCCGCATCCCAAAGCTGCGAAGGATGATGCCAAGATCGAGGAGACGAAGTCTGTGGCCGCCGCGAAGGAGGTGGTGAAGGACGAGGGCGAGGTGAAGGGCGAGCCGGCCAAGGAGATCACATATGCAGGTGGGCTCAATGGGGTTTCGGCACTTGATCCCTTTGGCCCCATGTACCCATAAAGTACACACTCAGGCCTTAAGGTACCTAAAATAGGAACCGCTTTCAGGCCTAAGTACCCTACCGTAAACCCCTAAACCTTAATTAAACCCTAGCCCTACTGACAAACCCAAACCCCTCCCCCCCCCTTGAAGGCTCATGGGACTTAGTAAGTAAGGTTATAAGTAGGTTATAATTAGGATAACCCCACTTAGGGGACTTATAACCCCAATTATAACCTACTTACTAAGTCCCATGATCCTCTAAGCCGACAAGCCGGTGGGCTAAGAATTGCAGGAGCTGGTCTTGGACGCTGTGCGGGCAGAAGGCCTCCGCCAGTCCTGGTAAGCCCTATACCCTCAACCCCTCCGCCAGTCCTGGTAAACCCTATACGAGCCTTGTAAAGCTATGCAGAGCAGTTGGAAGAACAGAAAAGCCTGATTGAAAGCCTTAAGCCCTACTCAAACGCTTTTGTGGAGCTGTGGGAGGGAGGGACTTCTGGGGTTTAGAGCGGTTCATAATGAGTTTAGACGGGGCTTCAGAATCTTAGACTTGGGTTTGTTTTGACGGGTCCTTCAACTAGGGAGGCAGGCTACGGCTACTTAGACTTAGAAATTTCGCAGTTAACTAGAGTTTATGCATTGGCCCAGGGTGCTACATATTTCCTGCATCTCACGCAATCCCTCAGATAACGATTCTCAAGAGTAGATCCTGAACTCCAGGAAACCTCACTGAGGAAGCCCAAAGAGATTCAGTTCCGAATCCGAAAAACGCTGTGCCCGCCGAGATGTGTTTCATTGCCTCACCGCTGTCAGCCAGGTTCCCTTGTACAGAGACCCTGCTGGTGCATACCGATATGGCTGACTTTCGCACAGGGTGCTCATTGGAGATACTGAAGGATTCGTCGACATGTCGCAGGCACGGAGAGCGTGGCGTGCCGCCAGCGCTTGCACCGCCAAACCATGCTGTAGCAAACACACAGCTGCCATGAGTTCTGTCAAGACGCATGTATTCATGAAGCCCTGTAAGAGGACATATAGAGCTGTTGAACTGCGAAAGCCTGTACAACCCTTCCTGAACCGCAAAGAACAAAATCCACTGTGCCTGTGATTCCCAAGGAACCAAACCAACAACATGTTGTCTAGGTATGGCCCTGCTGTATGCTGGACCCGAGATGCGAGCTGACCGCGAGGTGCGGGGTAGAGTAGTTTGCACCGTTTGTGTGTTATTGGTCTTTGAGTTTTATTTGAGGCGTGGCTAGGGCAGCAGTCCGGCGTTAGGGTTTTAGGGCGGAGCTCGGGAATTGCTTTTGGCGTTGTGTCCCGGGCTTGTGGGAAATCTCGGGGTTTAGGGGCTGTCATCTTGAACATGTAGGACTCGGTATTTAATTTAGGATTTCAGGGTTTCGAGTCATTGGCAGGCAGAGGCTGTTTTTGATTGATTGCTATAATTCGTGTTAATACTAATATTATAGGGTAGAAGGGATTTCCAAGCTCAGAGGAAGACCCCAATGACCACATAGTAGGCTGACGTCAGAAGCAAGCACTTTCCGCATCCCTTGAAAGCCAGGGCTGTGATTAACACCAGCAAGGAGCTTATGGGATATAGGGTGAACGGTTAAGGGTTTAGGGTCTGGGGTGAAGGGTTAAGGGTTTAAGCTTCGAGGTTTAGGAATTTGCGGTGTCAAGTTTAGGGCTTGCTGGGTAAACTTGCCTTGTGATGGCACGAATGCATTCGAGCACTGTGATATATGTATGTGTGTATATATATATATGTCTATAGATAGGTATAGATGCAAATATCGATATATAACATATACATATACTTATCTGTATACATATCCGTATGTGTATATATATATATATATATAACCCTGGACCCCAAGACAAAAGCCCGAGACCCTGAACCCATGGACTCGTAGACCCTGATCAAGCTGATTTGGAAGGTCGTCCTTGCCGCTGTGCGACAGGACGGCTGTGCGCTTCTGTGTGCCTCCCAGGCTGTCACTAGGGTTACTTGAAGGCTCATGGGACTTAGTAAGTAAGGTTATAAGTAGGTTATAATGCGGGCAACCCCAGTTAGGGGACTTATAACCCCGCTTATAACCTACTTACTAAGTCCCATGATCCTCCAAGTAGGGCTTGTCGGATTACCATTTTGTTTGATCCTCATTATCCTTGTTCTTGTTATCCTCATTTCTATTATACTTGTTATTAACGTGGTCTATTTTAGTTGTAGTATTGTTACAATAGGATAGAAGGGGGTTACAAGCTCGAAGGATGGATGCACAGGTTTAGGGGTCTAAGGTGTTACTATTACAGCTTGACACGCGAGCCAAACCTCAACTCAGGGCTAGTGATCTTCTCGTTGAGGTAGCGGCTGCGTATCTGAGGCCCCAGAGCCTCAAAGCCTGACAGCTAAACCCCCTGAAACCTCAAAATGCGCCAGAAAACATTCGCGCGAAACCTGAAGCCCTAAACAGCGACCCCCTGAGACTGCAACGCTTAAATATGCTAGACCCCAGTCCACAGCGTCATTCAGAATAACCTTGGCCTGATACCCGCAATCATGCAGCCGGTAGGCTCCATTAATTGGCAACGGTAACAACATCACGCTAATGTTTTTAAAAAAACATAGGTTTTTTTAGTTTTTTGTAGCATATGTTTTAAAAAAGAACCTATGTAATTGTGATAGGGCTCTCGGGTCATCAGCATCCGTACAGTGCCATGCACCAATAGCCAATAGCAGCCTGCCGACAGACAACCGAAACCACCAGGTTTAAGCGGTTTAGGGTTTAGGGTTTAGGGTGATTCGAGACATTCCAGATGTTTGAAGCATCAGTAGGCCGGGCAGAGCACGAGGATTATCTAAAGACCACCGAAATAACTGCTTTATCTTGGCGTTGATGTTGCGAGATACTTGCAAGTCTCCTACTCATTCGGAAGCCCCCGTGCACTGAACGACAATCATGACAGTGCACGTCTCACGTCGCAACGGTCATCATCGCGATATGCAGATTTGTTGGTCTGAGGGGAAACAATTGAGATGCTCCATCATGTCCTTACCTAGGTTACAAGCTGGAGAGCTCGTGTAGAGGGATACTATGTCATGATGTGCCCCATAGTTTCAAAGCCCTAAACACCCGAGTGCCAGAAGCTAAGAGTCTTAGGCCCTAAGACGCTACCTGAACGCCTACCAGGTGTAAGGGGATACCCTAGACCCTCAGGCCTATACTAGACTCTGCAGTTACAGTCCACAGCCAACCTTTCTCTGGGCTTTGGGGTTTCAGTTAAACCGTGTTTTGGGGCCCAACCAACCCCATTGCAGGCTCTCCGCATGAATCGCGAAGTTGTGCAAGAGGCGAGGGATTCGCTGTGAGGCTTGAGGTTAAGGCTTTACGGCTTTTCTGGGTGGATGTTTTGCATCTGGGGCGTGGGCATGTGATCGTGAAAAATGGAAGTTTGGTTTGATGACTTAGCAGCTGAGTAGGTAACTCTCACTTTTTGGGGGTTTATAAAATCTTGCCATAATTCGATTGGTTACCTTGTTTGGGGGCTAAGGTATGCAGCCCCTCAGATGATATCCACGGACCTAGGAGACAAGGAGCCTCGTTGCAATATTGCCCAGCCACTGCCCCAAGACTTACGCCCACAGATAGATGTGTAAATATATATATATATATGTACAGTATATACACACTCGTTTGTGTATTAGTCTTACTTCCGTTAATCTGCTGATGTTTGCATTAAAATCGACATCCCTTTGTTTCTTGGCTTGCATGCTCAAGAGAGGCAAAAGACGACTTAGCCCCTTGTTTGGATTCGTCGATCTTCGTAATTATCTGCACATCCACAAGCAGGCATGATGCGGTGCCCCTGAACCCCTATAGCCCGTAAACCCTACACCCGAAAGCCCTACACCCTGGGACTTTGCATATGTGCCCTGCCTTGCATATTTACCCCCTGCAGAGGCCGTGCGGCAAAATGGCCTGGCGCTGCAGCAAGCTAGCGAGGCTTGGGGCGTCACCTACCTTTGGTTAGTAGGGAATGGAGGAATGGGGTACAATTAGAACTACCATTTTCCCATTCCCTACTAACCAAAGGTAAGTTCGGGGTCATCGTAAGAGTCAGGGCGATTATGGGCAACAAAAGTCCAAGAAAGCACTTAAACCTAAACTATCGAAACCTACCCGCTCACAGGATTACTTAGCTGTGCTGGATTGGTGTGTAGGTGTGTTTTTTTGGGGGGCCTATGTATCTATATACATGCATATATATATATATATATATATGTGCTTCAAGTTTCCATGAAGGCTTAGTGTACCGCTGAGGCCGCAAGCTTCGGTTTGGGTTCGGGCTTTGTGGAATTGGATTTGGATTATGTGGGTTTAAGGGTTGTGGGGTTGAAGAACGTTGGGCTTTGAGGTCATTACCGCTTTGGGTGTTTAGGACCCAGTTAGAGGAGCAGCAGCAGTGGCAACAGTAGTCGTGATGGCAGTGCGAAAGCTCGAGATCGAGTGGCGTTTGTGCTGGCAGGCATTCGCAGTACATTCCTGCTGGCTCCTCACTGTAAGTATCTTGCAAAACTCCCAAACCCCACCTTGTTATGGAGGCCATTTGGAGGTTCATGGCTAGTTATAAGTGGGGCTTATAAGTAGGGTAACTATACTTGTATCCCATATTAGGGGACTTACAACCCCACTTATAACTACCCATGAACTCTTCATCGAAATCCCGACCTTGTTCTAGAACCCTGGCAGAGAGCCCTGACAGAACCGAAAAAAAGGAACAAGGACCCTGAAGAACCTTGAAGGGATCTATAGGGTTCTTTTAACTTTTAAGGGTCCTTCCAAGGGTTCCTTGGGATCTATAAGGTTCCTTTAAGGCAGTGAAGGGCTCCTTAGAGACTCCAATATCCCTTAATTAAGGGTTTAGGGTTTAGGGTTTAGGACCCCTAAATCATATTAAAGATCCTACTATAATTTAAGGTGTCTTCCTTAATTAAGGAATATACCTTAAATCAGGTTAAGGATCCTACTATAATTTAAGGTGTATTCCTTCATTAAGGGATGTTGGAGTCTCTGGGTGGGAGCCTTTGGGTCAGGAGCTCCAAGCAGACCCCGAGCTGCGGCGCGAAGCTGAAGAGGTGGTGTGGGGCTTTGCTTAGAGGATCACTGGGACTTAGTAAGTAGGTTCTAATTGGGGTTATAAGTCCCCTAAGTGGGGTTATCCTCATTATAATCTACTTATAACTTTACTTACTAAGTCCCATGAGCCTTCAAGTGGGGTTGTGGGTTCAGGGTTGAGGCGGTTTAGGGTTCAGGGTTTAGGGGTTTAGGGGTAAGGGGTTTAGGGTTTAGGGGTTTATTTAGGGGTTTAGGGTTTAGGGGTTAGGGGTTTAGGGTTTGACTGTGGGTTCAGGATGAAGGTTTGACTTGAGGTTTTGGCTCTTAGTAGAGCAATAGAAGCCTAAATATTTATCAACGCTGTTCCTTTGGATTCGCCAGTCAGTACATAACAACAGTATTCCCAACACCCTCTTCGATGTGCTCAGCCTTATATATATATATATGTATATATATATATATATATATATATACATATACATATATATATATATATATACATATATATAAGTCTCCATTCATAGTCGCCAGTGCCCGCTTTTTGGCTTAGTTTAACAAAGTTGATCGTTAGGGTGCCAAAAGGCGTACCACATTGGAGACAGTATTGTAGTCCTTGCTTTCGTTTAATGTAACCAGTTCGTAGTTAGGATCCTACGACAAGGTAACCCAAAACTTGGAACGACATTGGAGAGACTGTAGGTAGGGTTTCAGGGCGCTGTTGTTAGACTCAGGGGCTGTCGGTGTGCGTCAACTGGGCAGTTCGGATACATCGAAGTAGAAGCAAGAGGAGGGGTGTGAGTTTAGAGTTTAGGGTTCAGAAGTTGCGGTTTCGGGTGTAGTCTTTGGGGATTTTAGGGTTTAGGGTATAGGTTATGCCCTAAACCCCACATCGACCCTTAACCACTTCGAACTCTTCCGATCTCTTGGTGTCCGGTGCTCCTTACGTCCCTTCCTCGTTGCTGACTCCGTTTTTTCGCACTTGCAGCCTTTGCTCGTGGCATTGCAAGCTGAGTACGTGAGGCATGAAGTAAAGTGAAGATAAGTTTTGACTTGGCATGTGCATTTTCGGCTATAGTGTTTGCAGTGCACATGTCAAAGTCCCACACCCCAAGCCCATAAACCCTCAAGCGCTGATTCCATAACCCAGATACCCTAAACCAGACGAGGCTTTACAAGACTCAACAGAAACCCTATAAAGCTATCGCTGAATATACCCTGAACACCCCCCGCGCTGGTTTAACCACCCCTAAGCCCCAAACCCTGAACCCCAAACCCTAAACCCGAAACCCCAAACCCTAAACCCTAAAACCTTAAACCCTAAACCCTAAAAACCCTAAACCCTAAAACCCTAAACCCTAAAATCCTAAAACCGGACTCGGATTCTTCGGAGCCCCTGAGAAGGCAGAGTCTCGCCTGGGGCATCCGCGCCGGCGCTTGGAAAGCACGGAGAAGGCGGGGGGGGAGGGTGCCTTGGGATGTAGGGTGTAAGGTTTAGGGGCTTAGGGTTCAAACTGAAAATCCTCAAACCTTGAAGCCCTAGCCCTGAACCCTAAACTTACTTCGTAAACCCTGAAGCCCTGAACTCTGAAAGTCTTCAAAGCCTGACCCCGTAGAGTTGCAGAGACCGTGTGGATAAACGGGGCGGACAACCAAAACAAGCCTAGCCACTGAATTCTAAGTTTCGTGACGACATGTTTAGAGTTTGGCTTTCGCAGATAGACAGACAGACATATAGACAGATAGACATTGGGTACGGCCCAACACTCAGGAACAGTTGGATAATACTCATAATATAGATATATAAGGCCCTTAGTAGTGGCCCTTTTATAGACTGTTACTGTATGGGGGGCCGTACCCACGATAAACAGATAGATATAGAGGGAGAGAGCTTTCATACACCATATGTATGGTGCTCGTCTTTTAATGTTTGAGCTGCATACATTGCTGCAAATGCAAAAAGAGGCTGCAGAGACCAGATGTGCGAGTGGCTCAGATGAGCATCAGATATGAGCCGAACCGACGTTGATGAGAAGTTCAACCTGTCCGACGGTTGATGATATAAATTCTGCATGACCCATAATAAGGAATATACCAGAATTTCCATAGTTTGGGGTCCTTCAAGGTCATGCAGGATTTATATCATCAACAGGAGGAGCAGCTCAAGGAAGCTTTGGCTTAGAGAGAGTTTGTAGCAGTGAAGAGCAGAGAAGCTGGTGACCGCCACATGTGGGCGGAGGACGATCATACGAATGTGAGTGGCCTAAACACCAAGCCTTAAACCCTGCAAGGAAAACAGGTAGCACTCATGGACTTAGAAGACAAGTGCTTCGCCGAAGTTTGCAAACCCTGAACCTTAAACTGGAGTCAGAACAGCGAGGCGTACATCAATCTTAATGAAAAGAGCCCTAAACGCCCAAACCCCAAACCTCAAAACCCACGTCCCAAGCCCCCGAACTCCATTCCCTAGACCCCAAAACCCTAGGCCCGTAGTCCTTGAATTGGAAGCCCTACTTGGAGGTTCATGGCTAGTTATAAGTAGGGTTATAAGTCCCCTAATAGGGTTTATAGCTATGGTTACCCTGCTTATGACCCCAGTTATAACTACCCATGGACCTCCAAGTAGGCCCTATACCCTATACCCCTACAGAATCCCTATAGATCCCGTCAAAGCGCCCTAAAACCCTAAACCCTAAACCCTTAAAGGAACCCTTGTAACTACCCATGAACCTCCAAGTACAAAACCTGCTGCGACTCGAGGAGCATGGCCGCCCAAAGACCACTTGCTGGAGCCAGCTGCTGGGCCCCCACGGGGGTTCAGCGTTTAGGGTTTGGGGTTTAGGGTTTTGGGTTTGGGGTTTTGGGTTTTGGGTTTGGTTGTTCGTGCTTTTTGTCTAGGGTGCTGGCGCTCAGGTGTTTAAGTCTTGGGATGCTTAAGAATATTCCAATATATCATATGATATGATATTGCGTTTTTGATCTAATCTTATACTATTTGTAATACTATGTCAGGTTAGAGTAGATTAGATTGTACGATATTTCATTGCATGACATTACATGATATTGTACTTTTTTATATAACGTATGGTATATTACACTATATCATACCTTATTATGCTTTCTTAACGTTGAACCTGGAGTTTCGCTGGCAGGTTTCGGCAGTGTAGCGACCTCGCAAAAAAGCAGGTTGCCCTGATAGAGTCTACATTGCATGGAGCATCCACCGGATAGCGTGGAAGCAGTTATTACGACTATTCTTTGGGTTCCTTATTCAGTCATTACAGTTATGCTGCAAAGTATGCCAAAACCCTACTCAAGTTTTTTAAGATAACGTTTGCCGTGCCATGGTTTCGGGCTCCTTTTTGAGATAAAGGCATGCAGCTCTGTGCCCCTATTAGGTCTACTGCCTTGAGATGTTGGTTGGGATCGCCTGGTATTTGTGGGCGAGGTTGTGAGCTTTGGACTGTAGGGGTTTAGGGTATAGTTTTTTTGGCATGTTTTAGGGTAGGGTTTCAGGACTTTAGGGTTGTAGGGTTTGCGGTTTGGGGTTCAGGGTTTTGGGATTTAGGGTTCTTGGGGTCTACGCTACCCTTAACCCGGCAACACTGAACCCTAAACCCTATCTTAGGGTGTCATTCACATGTCCAAAACCGGTCCTGGCCGTGATCCTCGGAAAGAGATACGATCTTATGGTATATTACAGTTGGTTATGGTATGTTATGGTTATGATGGTAATATGTAGTATATGATGGTATATCATGATATATTATGATGGATTATAGTACATTGTAGTCTAGTATGTTATATTGTAGTGCATTGGAGTATATACTAGCATATGATAGGACCATGACCCAGCCTGTAGAAATATGAGCACTTCACTGCTTGCAGGGCTGGAGGAGTTTGCGGAATGACTTCCTCTGTCAGATTTTGTCACCACTACAACACGCACTCACCAGAATACGTGTCTCACGTGTGAAGTCTTATTCTGAGTCTAGTTAGAATATATGCCCGTAGGAGGATTCCCCAAAACCATGAACCCTAAACCCCTAAACCCTAAACCCCATGAGCCCTAAACCCCTAAACCATGAACCTTAAACCCTACACCCCAAGACCATCAAGCCTAAACCCCTAAACCATACACTGAACCCTAAACTCTAAACCCCAAAACCATGAAACTTAAACTCCTAAACCCCTGAATCTTAAACTCCGGCCCCAGGGGGACCTCCCACGACTTCATCTCTCCCCGGCGACAGCGCTGCGAGGGGCTCCTTGTCTGGCAAAGCTTATTGTTTCGGAGTCAAAATTTAGGCTTTGGGGTTTAGGGTGTAGGGTTTGGGGTAGGGTTTCGAGTTGGAGTCAATATTTAGGTTTTAGGGTTCAGGGCTGTTTAGGTTTGGAGTTTAGGGTTTAGGGCCGTTTCGGGTTTAGGCCAAAACTGCGCAGGGTGGTGGGGAAGCCCTGTTTGTTTCAGGCTTCAGGTTTGAGCATCGCGAAGTATTATATTGGCGTCAGACTATGCGGCTTTTGAAACTTAGGGTTTAGGGTTTAGGGCTTAGGGCGTGGCCTGTAAAAGAAAGACACGAAGGACGTTATGTTAGCCCTCTGGCTTGCATTAATAGTTATTAATTTAGGTGAAACTTAGACCCTAAACCCCTATAAACCCCTAACCTCTAAATCCAAACCCCTAAACCCTAAACCCCTAAACCCCAAAACCCCAAGCCCTGAATCCTAAGCCCCTACAAATGCTGAGCCCTAAGACCTAAATCAAAGGTGCAGTACACTTTAAAGCAACCCCAAACCCGCCATTCAGAGCCCGGAGGCTCCAGCGGTTTACGGTATTATGGGCTTAAGGGGTTTAGGGTTTTAGGGGGTTTAGGGTTTTAGGGTTTAGGGTTTTAGGGTTTAGGGTTTAGGGTTTTAGGGTTTAGGGTTTTAGGGTTTAGGGTTTAGGGTTTAGGGTTTTTAAGGGCCTAAGGCTTTAAAGACGTGGTAGGCTTTACGGGCCTGGTGGCCTTGATGGGCCTTGTAGGTTTCAAAGGATGTCTGGGCTGTATAGGGTTTAGGGTTTAGGGCCTGGGTCTTGAAGGTTTTGTCGGCTGCAAAGGCTTTTGAAGGTTCAGGTTCATGAGGGCTCCATATGATAGAGATGTTGATCACAGCCTAACTGTTTCAACTTTCGGACTGTGAGGTCCGATGGTAATGAGCAAGGCATCTCCGAGAACACGTTCAAAAAATTGGTTCGGCCCGGAAACGGTAGCACAAGGCACTCGTTAATAGATTCAACGAGTAAGCATGGGGTTTGGGGGGTGCTTGCAGAAGCATGTAAGATTTCAACAGCAATATTCAAAGCCTTGCACGAGCTTATGCAGAGCTGATAAGTACGTCCAGGTACGCCCAGCAGCCCACCACGATCGTGGCCACGCTATAGCCGTGCAGCCTCCAACTTCTCTGTTGTTGATCCCCACAGCTCTAAAGCTGTTACTGTAGGGACCTAAATAACTACCAATACTATTTTGGGGGGTTCCTTCTTATGATTATAGTATAATAATTTGCGCCTAAACCCTATTCTAACTAGTAAGGCTCCTATATTAAGCCCAGAAGCCTTGAACTCAAAATCCTGATGCACGCCAGTGTTGGGCTTGTCTTGGTGGTCACGAAGCTGTGTGCAGAGCTGGTCCAGGGCACCGTTTGTAGATCAAACAAAGACGTCCACGACCTCGCCTTGTAACTCATGTATAATGTAGGTGTCTGAACAATGAATGAAAGTATTCGTGCCTCGTCCTTCCTTCGCACTCGTAGAATATAACACAGGCATGTTGATTTCAGAAAGGTGCTTGCAGTACCCTAAACCTAAACCCTAAACCCTAATCGCCAGCCTCGCGTCTGAAACCCTACAAGTCACTCAGGCTCTTATAGTCGACTGTGTCCGAGGGCCGAAATCCCAAAATCGAGAGCTGTGTAGGCAAGCTTATCCTTTAGTTCTGGGCACATGATGTAACATCACTGCAAAGTTGTTCACTTTCGTAACCGTCTATAAGCATGAACATCTACATGGCAACCACTATACATACATACATACATACATACGTGCATGCATGCATACATAAATATGTATCTACGTGCATGCATGCGTATATGTATTTGTAGATATGTACATAAGTGCACATATACATCTACAATCATATGTACGTAGATATGTACGCATGCGTACACAAATCTATGTATATATGTGTATGTGTGTGTATATATATATGTATATATACACATGTATGAGCATGCAAACATACCAACGACGCATAGAAACAAGCATACATCCACATATACATACATATGTACATACATACATACATACATACATACATACATACATGCACGTGTACATAGAAATGGGGGCAAGAGCACAAACGTACTCAGCTTCATGGCCGTCAGAGCCAGCAGCGAATTCGGAATTCAACTGCCTTGGCGAACCTTTGAACAGCGTGGCGTAAGCAAGACTTTCCGACCAAGACCGAATGTTATGCCCTGAGCCGCAAGCCTGACGAGTGGCTCCCTACAACCTCGTTCTGGACACCGGCGAAGTAGCATCCTCAACTATCGTCTACTATACCGCAACGCCTTATTCCAATCATCAAGGTACCTAAATCCCAGATCACCAGGGACAGTGACGGTCTTGTTACCCAAACCCCTACTGAACTGATCAAAAAACCCTAAACCCTATATCCTAAACCCTAAACCCTATATCCTAAACCCTAAACCCTAATGCCCTAAACCCCGAATGGCTCACCAGGGAAAGTTGCGGAATCCTCGTGAGCTCCCTGTCGATATCACCGGACCGCTGCTCTGCGAGTCGTAGAAATCCCTGAACAAAGGGGGTAGGGTTTAGGATATAGGGTTTAGGGCATTAGGTTTTTTTTTGTGAGAACAGGCAGAACCCTTGCGAGTGCGCACAGGCATTAGGCTTTAGGATTTAGGGTTATCATCTAACATTGGATTTGGCTTTAGTGTTTCGGAAGGAGCACTTGAGCTCTTAGGGTTCAGGGTCTAGGGTGAAGCTTCAGCAGCTCGACCCTGTAAGGTGTGAAGAGCTTGCAGGTGTAGTTTATCGTAACTTGAACGGTGGTGGAGCCCTTGTGGTTAGTCGTACAATCATGCTGGAGGTATACCCAATCCGATTTTTGCAAGGCCTAATTGGGCAGAACCCTAAACCCTGAACCCCCTAACCTAGACCCCCATGGCGGAGAGGATTTTAGAAGAGGCGAGCTTTGGGGGCGCATGTATCCGTAAGGATGCGAGAATGTTGACCTGGGACCTCTATGCAACTGCCCATGGTTTCGGGTGTTTTTATGGGCATTGAGTTCATCTTCAGTGGGTTTTATAAGGGATCAAAGCCGCAGGTCCTGAAGCCAGCGGGTGTGGGGTAAGGATCGAAACCCCAAGCTCTAAACCCCAAATCCTAAACCCCTAAACCCCTAAACCCTGAATCCTAAACCCCTACAAACCCCAAACCCTAAACCCTGGGTTTAGGGTTGGATTTAGTTGTGGAGCCTCAAGGGTTTTGTCGATTCAGGTGCGAGGCTTGTGGTTTGGGACTTGGGGTTGCGGGTGTAGGGCTGTAGTAGTTACTACTTAGAGGATCATGGGGCTTAGTAAGTATGGTTATAATTGCGGTTATCAGTCACCTAAGTGGGGTTATCCTCGTTATATCCTACTTATAACCTTACTTACTAAGTCCCATGAGCCTTCAAGTAGAGCCTACGGTACGTAGAACCACACACCCGTTTTTGCCAAAGGGCTTAGGGTTTAAGGTCGTACGTGCTAGGCCGCTAGGCAGCATGAGCCGGAAGCAGTATCGCTGGGGGCTCGCAAAGCCAGCTCTCACGAATAACAGCGTCGCGGGAAGACAAGCTAAGCATTGCTGCTTGGCTTTCTGCAAAAAAAGGAAACCCGGAACCGTAAACCCCAAACCCTAAGTTTATAGCCTAAAGCGCCAGGAACAAGTAGTTTCAGGCTGCGCGTGTGGTCTTTCACACGTGTATGTAATCCTGCGAGTTTGCCACAACATGTTGCTTCGGGTGTACTACAGGGGCCTTAATAATTACCTATACTATTTTGGGGGGTTCCTTATTATACTTATAGTATACTATATCTCCATTCACTCTTCCAATTATTGAGGCCCCTATGTCGGGGCTTAGGGTTGAGGCTCTTTATGTGGTGTACGCACTGTCAAACTGTAAAGCCCTAAAATGTTATAACACTAATAGACTAAAGCCCTCAACCCTAAACGTCTACTCGATCTCCTGCGGCCCGTTTTGCGCATGAAAGGAAGTATTGGACGGCAAAGGCCCCGGGGGTTAGGGTTCAGGGGTCTGAAGTTTTGAATTTTGGGTTTAGGGTAGTTTAGCATTCAAGACGGTTTCGAAATCCTGCAGCATGAGTCGTTTCTCAGCATTTTGCATACATGTCCTGTGCTCAAGTGGCCATATATATATATATATATATATATATATATATATATACAATAATATATACATATATCATATATCACTGTGGTGTAGAAGAAGAACAAGAACAACAAGTCCAGATGCAGCAACAACACATACAACAAAAAATAACATCCAGGACAGTTGCTACCTGCTAAGGCTGCTCCTGCTTCTACTTACTACATCGACACGTACGGAAACTGGGGTTTCTGCTGCTACAGCCACTGCCACTGCCACTACCACTCCGCCACCACCACCGCCACCACCACCACCACCACCACCCCGCCACTACCACCCTAAACCCTAAACCCACCACCACCCCACCACTACTACCACCGTAAGTACTACGCCTGCGCAAGCTGCTAAAGACTCTCAGATCGATAATTGCCACAGTTCGAGATTCATTGAAGTGCCTTATTAGAAAAAACCCATAAGAAACCCCTTATAGTAACCCTTACAGGACCCTCTTTAAGAACCCTTTTAAGGAACCCTATCATCCCGGGCCGTCGGGACTCTTGAGCCATGGACGTCGAAGTGCTGGACGACGACGACGACAATGGCAATGGGGCGCAGTGGGATACGCAGGTGGTGGGAGCAACCCTAAAACTAAGCCCAAAGCCCAACACTTGAACCCTGAAACTAGGACTAAAACCCCAAACTCTAAACCCCAAAACTAAGCCTAAAACAATAAACCCTAAGCCCTAAAAATCAGCCTAAAACCCAAATGCCCCAAAAGCTTTTTGCACCAATGCCCTCAGGTAGCGGAGCTGGCGAGCTTGCTTCTTGGACGGGGCTCTGTAATATAGAGGCCTGATTAATAATAACCAATACTATTTTGGGGGCTCCTTATTATTACACCCCACAAACCTATTGAAATTATTACGGCTCCTACATCAGGGAGTCGAGAGACGTCTGCCAGGGAGGTTGACCCCCCAAATTTAGAGGTTAGGGTTTAGGGTTTAGGGGATTGAAGGGTTCTAGGATGAGGGGGTTGCTTTTCTGACAAGGCACTTGGTTATCAGCACATCAAGCGCCAACGGACGTCCTGCTTGGAGGGTCGGGGGACTTAGTAACCGGATATTTTAGGGACTTATAAGTACCATAACCCCAATTAGGGTCCCTTTTAGGATACTTATAAGTCTACTTACTACCTACTTACTAAGTCCCCCGACCCTCCAAGTGTGGATTGCAGCAAACCCAACATTCTCCGTCGGAGTCAGGTCGGTCTCGGGCTCACGGTTTAGGGGTTTGGGGTTTACGGGTTGTGGGGTTTGTGGTTCTGGGTAGGGGTTGTAGGGTTTAGGGTTTAGAGGTTTAGGGTTTAGGGGTTTAGGGGTTGTAGGGTTTGTGATTAAGTTAAGGGTTTTGAGGTACTTCGTTGGAGTATAGCTCAGACACGAAAGGATATGCGTGGGAATTAGGTTTCTTAGGTAGCTGAGGGCTTCAATAGGAGTCATCGTTGGTTTTCGGTTTCTGTAGCTCACGGAATTATGATTCCATTTCTTGGGCTTGAGGGTAGTATTAGCATGCACGACTGAAGACTTAGGGCTCCAAGTTATTTATATTGCATTATGCCCCCAAACCCTGCTCCTGCTGTCAAGGCCACTATATTGTATGGGCCTATGGATGTCCGGCGCTCGACATTCCACCGATCCCGGTAATAGGAAGGGATGGCTTTCCGGCGCCCTCCTTTCACAGAGTTCTTGAAGGGGTTTGTGGAATGAGGATGGTACTCTCGTGTAGCTATACGAGGAGTCAGACGTCCCCGACATGGTGGTAATGACCTCGTTTTCTCTTACAACCTATAAACCTCTATAAGTAAACTATCCTATAAACCCTAAGTACGTGAAATAAGCTGAAGAAATGTGACCCCGATAGACACCACTGGCCTACCGGATTCTGGAAAGCGCACTATTTTTCGAGACAAAACGGCCTTGGTACATCCGCA